CCCCACTCTTTTACAAGAATAATTCTTTAAAAATAAAATGTTCTACTTTTTTCTTACTTTCTTTTAGGTTTTTGGATTTCAGTATTTCTAAGCCTGTGTTTCCATTTTCAATTCAATATTGCATATCCAAAAATTACCATTTTCTGTGAATATTATATATATATATATATATATATATATATATATACATACATACATATATATATATATATATATATATATATATATATATATGGTAGATTCTTCTAAAGATTTCAGTATAAAAGTTCAGAATGGATCTGCCAGACTACCCACATAAATTATTGGATTATAGGGTGAAGTCTTGTGTAGAACCATGTACACTTTCTAGAAAGACTGATAGCAGAGAGAAAAGGTGGACAGTGTGCCACAAAGTCTTCAAACAGCACTCCTTAGGTTTGAATTTAGAGTTTTTATTCTTCTAGGCTGGCTGACACTCAAGGCAGATTTAACCCATATATGGAGGAAGATGCCTTTTCCATATGTATTAATGTGAAGTGAATAAAACAGAATTGACAGGAATCTGAATTCAACTCACTGATTCTACTTTCTACGTCAATAAACATTACACTAACCACACATCCATATATATATATATATATATATATATATATATATATATATATATATATATATATGTGTGTGTGTGTGTGTGTGTGTGTGTGTGTGTGTATATATATGATGCTCACATGCACATGCATCTGAATAGTTTCATTATCTATTTTTAAAAGCATACTCATGCAGATATGCATGTGAACAAAAGATACTTTAACCCTAATAAAAAGAAACTGAGAATAATTGCTGTCATCTTTTGAATACACACACACACACACACACACACACACACACACACACACACACACACACACACACACACATGTGTGTGTGTGATGTTCATGCACAAAATTACTGTCATGGAGAGAATTGTTGTTTACTTAAGTATTAGACATTAGCAGAAGAGTCTAAGCAAATAAGCAATAAGATATTTGTGAGTTCTTTAAGTCTAAATTGTGTGTGCTTCATTAACTATTATTTTGTAATGAATACACTTTATCATTTGAGAAGCCTTTTCATTCTTTCAAATGATTCAGTGCACAGAATAAAATCAATTACTCACATATAAAACAATGACTATTTAATGAGTAAGGAGGAAAAAGATTAATTATTTTACAGTACTTTGTGTATCATTCAGTCTTTTGGTATGCATTCTCATTCATTTATTTAAAGAAATTGAATTTCTACATTTGAAAGTCATTAAAAAGCAATGAACCAATTCTTCTTCTACTAAATTCAATACCAGAGTATATTTGATAAATATATTCTGTGAATTTTAGCTGTAATGTAAACAGAGTGGTGGATATTGTGAAAAAATTGAATAGAAAACTAAACACTCAAAAAAGAAATTGCAAACATTGGCAAAGATAAAAACAAGAAAAAATGTCTAAGAATATCAGAAAAAGAGATTCTAATGAATGAGGTGTGATAACGTTTTAGCTTATTCTATAGTATTTTTTCTCTTTGTATTGCTAACTAGTGTAGTTGAAGTTTACCTCTTGTCCCTTTAAATTATGTCTGTTTTTACTCCATTAAAAAGAGACTTAAGTTTAACAAGGAAAACAAGTGAATGGATCAGCAAGCAAATATTTCAAAATGTTGTTGTTATGAATGTAAAAAATGAGAAAAGATTTACAATAATAAGAACATTGGTTTAAGACATGAAAACAACCAAACTACAACATTTAAGTAAATATCATTAAGAGAGGAAGAAAACTAGACAAAATGTATATATGGAAATTGATTACTTCACAGTAATTTTAAATGATGACTGTCAAACTGCATTAAATGGTCATAAGGTCTGTGTCAGAGTTTGAATTCTTCAGAGACAAAGATTCTTGGTTCTAATAAGAATCTCTCATGCTAATGAGAGATTCTGTAATGTTTTGGGCTGGTATTGTTGGTAGTAAAATTATGCATACCTTTGATTTTGATGACAAGGTCAAGATGAATGCAAAGTTTTAGTGTAAGTTTTTGGACAAAATGATTTTTGAGCATTACAAATTAGAACCAAGAGGCTTTAAACTAAAGTATATAGTTGGGTAAGTCAATACTCCTTTATATTCATCAAATCTAACTATTGCCCACCTTACCAAAGAATGATTCAAAGATATCAAATTAATGAAATGTGCCCCCAAACTCTCCAGATATTAATCCAGTAGTAAAATTATGATCTATCATTAGGATAAATGTATATAAGAATGTAAATAAAGACCTCTGAGAAGGAATAAATACTGCATCAAGTAATATGAAGATGAAAGAGTGATGAAGAATGTAAAGGAGCTCATATTAAAATATAGAACAGTGAAATAATAATTTATTCAAATATATGGGATATTGTATTAATCAAATACTCTATGTCAGATTTTATTATGCAAATTGAGGTTTTTACAACAAAATTGATAATAACCAGTTGATGGCAGGATATATTTATATATGCAATACAATATGTGAGATTCAGTTGATATACTACCCTTATTAAAATACTGATAAAATTTATTTTAGGGTTTCAGTTTTTATTATGCAAAAGGCACAATACATATTTATTTATAAATGATTCCAAAAAGAATCCCTAGAAACATATATTTATTTAACACAATATCCCACAGAACTATAAAACTTATTATTTTATATATTAATATATCATTCTTGACAATTTTTTATCTTCATCAATCTTTTATAAATGATTTTGGCTGACTTACATATTTCTCTTGGGTATGCTAATTTGAAGGTGGTAGGTGTATCCACATCTTCAGCCAATGTTCTTAATCAGATGTATGTTTTTTCTCTCTCTTTACATTTACAACACCAGAATATTCAAATATTTCCTTGCTTATTTCCTTGCTTTATTACTTATTACCCTTTTAATTTTTCTCGCATTTCTTTGTCAACTTCTTATAGCTAATTGTTTTAATAATGCCTATTTTTTTCAATTTTTTTTTATTCTTCTTTGATCTCTGTTCAACGTTTTTACAACTTCCAATGTTATGTCCCCCATTACTCAATAACTTTATGTCTTGTTTTAAACATGTATTATTCTTATAACCAATGGTAAGCTTTATATTCTCAAATGAAAAAATACATATCAAAAATTATAACATCATATATTTATTTGGAATGAACAAAAATGCTGGATGTCATAGAGAATGGATATGTTTTCATTGCTCAAAAAAGTGATGTCATCTTTTAAAGGGAAGTGATGATTTTTTATTTATACATATAGTCTTATACTATTCATTGTTTATTATATGATTATAAATTTTATTATATTATTATATGTTTATTATCTTTATTTATTAGAATACATATTTGTTTATTTTTTAAGAAAAGTTGTTGTAAACATCAATTGTTTTCTTTTTAAATGTTATTTTTATTTTTTAAATCATTTCACCACAAGCAAAGCAATAAAGTAACTAAAATACAACATGTTACTGAGTGTGAGAGAAGATGAGAAAATAAAAAACATTATTAAGGAGAGAGAACAATAAGAGAACAGGAATTAAGAAGACAAAAGATAACAATTGACATTTCATTTAAATTTTTGATAAAACTAAAACAGAAAATGAAGAAATTTATACCCTGAACAGTAATGTCTTATTTTCATAACTATTAAATAATGTGTAATCAAAATAAAGGTTGACAATTTCACTGTTCCTGATAATTCTGCTGAATGTTTTTGTATCTCATTTTCAACAAAATTTAAAAAGAGTTATATCATGAATTATTTTCTTAGTGTTGTCAATCTAAGAAAATCTGTATACACTAAGTAATTTGGGGGATAATAATAAATAATCTTAATTTATGTGACAAAATGTACATTTAACTTTTGTGCTTTTGTCAAATGTATCTTAATTATAAAAACTTTGAAAGTATCTAAAGAAAAACTAAGAATTAATTCCATAATGTTTTATTTTATATTATGTCATAGTGTTACATATTTTCTCACCATCAGTTACTGAAATTTCATAATATCAACCAATACTTTATTTTATTAATTAATGATCTGTATTTTCAGCCTATCAGTGAATTGTGCAATATAAATTTCCAGTAATCAATCACCATAAGTAAATTAGTTTTTTCTTGAAGAATCCATCAAATCGATTGTGTTCGGTTTAGATTTTACTTGAAAAATCTAATCTGTTCTGGTTAATGAAAACAAAAATATAATTGTGTTCTATATGTGAAAGAACAGTGAAATTGTCAACTTTTATTTTGATCACACATTATTTAATAAATAGGTATGAAAATAAAACATTACAGTTCAGTGTATAAAATTCTTCATGTTCTGTTTTAGTTTTATCAAAACAATATTACTTACTCAAAATATCACTCAACCAGTTTCATATATGTAAATATTTACCTACCTAACCATATTAGTTATCTGTTCAAATGAGAGATCATTGATGTGGATCAGAAAATAGCATTGTTAATTGTCAAATCTTCAACATAGTACTGTTCAGAGGCATTGTAATGTCTGTGGCAACCAAAAGTTCAAATCTCTACAGGAAATAAATTTGTCTAATTACTGCTTAAAAGTTAAGCTATGAATTAATTTTAATGTGTAGGTGTATGCATTATTTTTAAGTTTATGTGCTTTGTAATACCAGATAATAATACTTAAAATGTTAACTTTTGTTTTTTCTCTTGTTGAATGTTAAATTTTGATATGCTTTGAAATTTCAGATTCATTAACAAAATGTAATGATATTTTAAACTTTTGATTCAAAATTTGCAATGAATTTAAATTTTGAAATAAGTAACATTTTTGTATGAGAAAGTTCTCGTTTCAGAATCTAAAAATTTCTACCAAGAAATACTTTTTTTTCAGTCGTACATTGAGTTATTTTTCTTTGTTAAATATGCAATAAATTGATTAATGTTTTTCATATCTAACCTGTATCTGTTTTGTTGATTCTGTTGCTGTGTAGGACAGGGAATTTATGGAAATGGACATGACTTTTAATGTTCCTCCAAATAAGCCTTCAGAGACACCCCCACCTTCCCCTGATCCGTCTCTAGCTTCTTTGGAACGCAGGAGAATGACTGGATGCTGCACCTGCCGGTTTTCTCCTCAGCGTAGATTCCTGGTGAGTTTACCTGCATGAACTTAAATGCAAAAATGATTGTTTGGTTCAAATGCCTTCACTGCTGGAAGCAGCTCTTGGTCCAAGATGTGTGAGGTGACAGTATGCATGTAGGACAGTGCAGTATAGATGGGTGTATGTGTGCAGGACAGTATTTTGTGATTGGTCTGTAGTGAGTTAGTAACATAGATAAACAGAAAATAGAAAACATTATTAGCACTTGAGAAAATTTGTCTAAAGAGAAAGAGAATTTGGAGAAAATATAAGAAAATTCAAAATATTACTACAAAACTAACCAGTTTATAATTAACAGAATAAGTAAAATCTACAATAAATGAGGGAAGATATAATTTTGATAAGTGACTTTCATTTTGCAATAAAGATCATTACATTTCAGAAGGTTTAAAACTTTCAGTCACCAATCAAAAAGACACTGTCAGAAATAAATCCAGAATAAGAAACCAATTTTATAAATGTCTATGCACGTTGTGTTTCACTGTTTTTTTATCTAATAAAATATAAACTAAAAGCACAGAAGCAGATTCTATGTCACAAGATTCCTTATGGCAAAAGATAAAACAATTCAGCTCAGTAAATCTCAAAAGGTTATCAAAAAATAATATGTAAAATAAGAATTGCAAAGAAATTGATAAAAAAGAAATAAAAAAGAAATTTTTGAATTCTCTAATCTACACTAAACACATACAGGCAATAATCTTTTCTTTATTAATTATTAAAATGTCTGTTTTTACTAAAGTTTATAAAAAAGGATTTCTAAATATTTTTACATGAAGAAGATTTATACATAAGCGTATTTAATAATTATGCTAAATTAACAAAATATTTAAGGGTTCTGTAGGTTCCCTCTTCAAAAGTTGATTTCTGTCTCAGTTGACTTTCAAAATACAAAAAGCAATTGAAATGTCTTGGCTCCTTACATTTTCTAAACCTATAAAGATGAAATAATTCTTATATATATGTAAAATATTTTTAAGTTATTTCTAAAACATTTATTTATAGTGGGCTGATTAAATTGTAGCTAATTAGAAGAAATATTCAATGCATATCATTACAATTATCTTTTAAATTCAGTTACTTTCTTTAAATTTGTAGTTGAATTTTTATTAAACTTAATCTCAAATTATGTTCATGCTGATACCAGTTCTGATCCTTCATGCAGCCAAAAAGATTTTTTTTTGTCAGTCTGTATCTAAAGTGCCTTCATTTGATTCTCACTAAACCATTTTTGATATTTCCAACTTCCTAATCTCATATTTATATCACCTAACATCTACCATGTTTAAACTTTCAAAATCTTATATCTTGATTAACCATGTTATTAACATTATGGAAAAATTAGCAACTCCCCATGTGAGTCATAAACAGAGGAATGACGGACAAGACAAATGAAAAGTTTACAGACATACTTCTATATAAATAATACATTTATACAAATAGAAAAAGAAGAGTTGCTAAATATATTTCTTTAGGAGTTAATGTCAGTTCACTGGGAACAAAGTCCTATAGATAAATCTGTCTAAAATGGATAAAACATGTCCTTTCACATTGGAGGTCTTCAAATTTGGCACCTGAAATCCATTTGGCACCTAAATTTGGGTTCTACCCATTATTAACAGATAAATGGACCCCCACTCTGGGATCTTATCGACCAAGGGGAGATAATCTATATTTTTCATATTTTCCCAACACATAGAAAAACATGCAATGCAGTGTTATTATATGTTGCCATTTCATAATATCAAAATACAATATTTAGTATATGACCATGAAATCAGTTCTTTTTTTAATACAATATTTGGTATATAACTATAAAATCAATTCTTTTATTAATACAATAAGCATTTCTACAAATTCAACAGATCAATAACAAAAAAGTGGAATTCGTTATCCTCAATACGTTAGTGTAAACATGATAATTTGCTTTTTACTTGACAATTAACTTTTTTAGAATTATTCACTAAGAATAACTTCACTGGATATGAAAGATCAATAACAAGACTCTCATAGACTTCTGAATTATTATGGCCGATTACTAGTGAATGCATTTATAAGTATCCTCCCGACATTTTTTTTAAGATACTTGTAAATTTGTTAAATCAATTTGAATTATGCCCCTTTCAGTTTTAGATTTTTAGCTTATGTGCTATTTGTACACAATAAAATTTTATTAAACAATACATGCAATATTCTACCCTTGTTAAAGTATTTCAAGTATTAATTGTACCAATTAAAATGACATTACCCATTCTTTTGTCATTTATATTTATTTTCATGACACAACATTTTATTATTTATTGTATAGCTTAATTATCTGTCTATATTTCTGAGATGAGGTATTATGTACACTATTTACATTATTCAGACTATTGTCCTCATCTTTGTTGCCATATTTATTACAACATTTCAGCCGTTTTACACTCCAGCCTTCTTCAGGTGGTTGGAATGTTGAACTGAACCCTTTATTTCACTCACTGGGGTAGACTGTTCTAGCTCCACGTGCCATGTCTAATGGATGTCAGTTATCTCCTGTTAATTCCCCTCTCCAAGTTCTCCACTGCCTTAACCAGGTATTGAACTTACACTCTTTGGGTCCTGTCACTGGATCTAACTAACGCCTTTATCCACTGTGCCATGTCTCCTGAAGTAAATTGTTTTTTATGTGTGTTAGCACTTGTTTTAAATATTGTACCCATTCTTAATTTCTTCTTCATAATTGAAGATTTTGAATTGAAAACTGAATCTTTATTCACTAGTAATTACTATTTTCACTACCATAGATACAGTTTAATGTCTTGATCAAGGAAACGTTTGTCCCAGATAAGATTGGCCAGGATAAGGTTGCAATTTAGTTATACTTAGGACCAAGTTGGCCAGAATTGGGATGAACAATAAGTGGTCAAAAAGTGACCAAAAGAAATGGATGCAGTTTAATATCTTACCCAGAATGAAAATGGTCAAAAGTGACTAGTAAGTGGATGCAGTTTAAAGTCTTACCCTGGACTAAAGTGGTCAAAGGTGATCTGTAATTGTCTGCAGTTTAAATTCTTACCCAGGACTACATTTGACATTATGGGTCAAGGAAAGATCCATTGGAAACAGATGTTGTATGTAATGATTCTCATAAAATGCATCTCCTCTAGATATGTGTATGGAACGTACATTTCCATCATTTCCACAGAAAAGTTCAGTCATCCTGCCAAGTTTCCAAAATGGTCTGGCTTTTGCAGGATTTTTAATTAATACTATATCATCTACTTGTATCTTATTATTAAAATACATGTCATGTAGATCCTTGCAACTTTCTCTTAGACTCAAAAGATATTCCTCATTCCATAATTCTTTGAAGTTAACAATTTCTCCCTTTCAGTGAGATCATCTAATAACTGAAACCTGGAAGTAGGTTCAATTTCAGGAGATCCACCAGAATCAGTTCTCACAGAAATTCTTCCATTGACATTAGGATGTAAAAAGGCACTGGGTATTAATGATAATAGTTCAGTATCTGACATACTTCAATAGCGGTCTGGAGTTTATTGCTACTTGTTCATTAGATTTGAAGACCGGTCCATGAGGAATCCAAATATATTTTGAAAAGTCTTGTGGGGAGACTTCATTTCTTTCTATAATCCTTTTAGTCTCTTGTTGGTGAAAAATATCATTATAAGCAGTAGCCAATTTTTTTTCTCTAAAGAATGTATAGTTTTATCAAGCACTTTCAAAGCAACTTGATAATTAGATGGCACCAATTTCATGCCAGAAATATAAATTGTCTTTGAATTTTATTGTTTGTCAAATTTATCTCTTTTGTTTTTGTCATAATCACTGATATATTCACCTTCATTGAAGAATGATGTGCATGAATTTGACAGCAAACATTTTCTTCAAGTTTTGTTCAACATTAGATAACTCAAAGGTATATGGGAATGTTTCAGGGTACATGGACTTTGGTTCCAATACAAATTTTACTTGCTGTTGGGGACATGAAGAACATTCAGAAATTATAATATGGTAGTTTTCTTGAATGTTGGAAGCCTCAGGTCCCACTGGGGTAACTCAATAATTTAGACTGTTCCCGAAAAGGGCACTTCCATTTGGCATTTTCCACACCAAGGCATTCATGCATCTAACAATTTTCATATAATGGAAAATGTTCAATCCCATAATTCCTTAAATGTTTATTTGATTATCATCATTATGAGAAAAGACTAATTTGTAATTTAATTTAGTCAAATTGGTTATCATTTGGCTGAAGTCATCTAACTTGAATATTAAATTTGTCATCTCACAAAACAGGAATAAGAAGTGATCTCCCTTTGATCACCTTTACTTCCAATATTACTTGGTGTAATCTCTTATTGGAAACACCTAGATAAATTTTTATTGGAAATCAATAGGATTCAGACTCCAATCAGGAGTTTTTAACTTCTTTAATATTCCTTTAAAGAAATACAGCCACTGGCTACCTGTGTCCAATAAGCAGTTTATAGAGACTTTCTTAGCACCCCCATGACTTCCACTATAGGTTCCACTTAAGTTGTTTTCTTCATTCATATCAGTGCCCATATGAGTAAAAAGAGAGATCCCCTTCTTACAATTATTGCAGTGGCATTATATGTCCCTTAGAAGAACATTATTTATAGAAAAGAAATAATTTATTCTGAAGTTCAAGGCAAATCTTCATTTTTATGTTTGCCACTGGAACCTCTACTGCATAATTTCAACTGCTTTCATCTGGCTGCCCTTGACTTATAGGTAGGATATCTCATACACCTACCTGCCCATGGGATGACCACATGAAGCACAAAATTTACATAGTGTCCCATTAGAGCTGATGGTGAAATTCGACAAGGCAGCACCATTATTTTCCTTTTCACTGGATTTATTTTAGTATCTTTTTCATATACATGGAAGGGCCTTTTATTTTTTGTCAATGTGCGCATCACTTCACTATAATTCTCATATACTTCCCTTAAGGATGGGTA